ATACAGTCATTTGAGAAGGAGAAAGATGGCTTATGTTTTAATGGGCATTTGAACTAGGTGATATAAAACAGCTTTTCCCCTGCTTCACTAAGAATAAAAAAATGTCCATTTAAATTTCTAACAAAATATGAGGAACTGCGTAGGACCATCCACAAACATCATCTCAACAAACGTAGAATGGTAGTGTTCACTCTGCTTTATAGCAAACAAAACTGAAATCCAGGGGGTCCATGCATTCTTGCACGCATGCTTATTGATTGAATGTATACCACATTTTGAAATCTTCATTCTAAAGGTTAATATAACAAAAACCATTTCTAAAATATACTATGCCCTAAAATGAGTGATAAAGTTTTTCTGCCATCTCACCCAAAATTCCATGAGGCATTTTGACAATGCAGAAAGAAAGAACAAAGCTTTCATTAATTTATTCTTTGCACCTGTAACTTAAATGACCAATGACTTTCTTCATATGACATTGACAGGGATCTGTCACAGAGCCTCCATGAAAATTCACAATAAATTAAAGAAGTGACTTGGCAATGCTCAGCAATGTAACGAGGGAGGAGAAAGAATTATTGAGTATGCTGAATAGTCCCCGATGTTTTTAGTTTAGAATATGAGAGTTGTATGACATTTCATAGTATATGCAACTTTTATAAATAAAAACATCTTATTCAAATTGACTTGATTGAATAATCAGTCTCTCCTTAACATAAGATATATATTTACGTATAACTTACAATGTTTTCAGAGAATCCAAAAATAAATAGAGGGATATATGCAAAACATGGCATCATCCTTTTTATCTGAACTAGCCACTGGCCATGCCTTTAGAGTTAATTTCTAAACAGATGACAAATTGGTGCTGTTGGTTTTCATTGAGTTTATTGTGGTGAAGCAGGAATGTTAATTTGTGAGAAAATTGCTTAGTGTGAAGGGACATGGAGCAGAACAAATGTATTGCTTTTGATTAATCACTAGGGAGACTAACAGGGGACCTGGATGAACTAGTGGAAATGGATTACCACTACTTAAATAAAAAATAAATATCCCACTTTATGGATAGTAGATCATAAATTCATTTTATATGCTAGAGCAACATACAGTGTGTTTATTTCTATGTAATGCTGTGAGAGTCTATAACTTTAACTCTTAACCTACATGTTCTTAAATTCTTCACAGCATCATCTGTCTAGTGTTAATATATCAATAATGATTATTAAACAATTACAGAATTGCCTCTTTACTTGTCTCTCTCTACTTCTCATAGATTATAAACTCCTTGAGGACAGGTGTTAATTATTTATTTTCAAACACTCTGCACACAGTTGATGCATGGTATTCATTCACTGGACAAACATTTATGGGGTACCCCCTTTGTACCAGTTACTATGCTAGGAGCTCAGAATGCAGAGGAGCACTAAGCAAGCATGTTTTTTGTCTTCATAGATCTTATTTTAAAAGTAGCACACATTTGCTCTTTATAAAAATATTTTGAAGCCAAAAGGAAAAGCTTCTGGAAAAATGATGACCTGTATTTTTAATAAAGAATGATTATATTTTCCATAAACTTATAGGCCACAATAGTGCCATATTTGTAGAAACATTATAGTTATACCCTTCCTCAGAAAAACTTAACAATTCTGTAAGAAAAACACAGCATTTTTAACTGATTTTCTCCATAGAAGCTTAGAATAAAAAAAAAGGATGTTTCAACTATGGAAGTGTTTAAACATGCTTAACACTTTTGAAAATTAGGCTTGCATCATTTTACTATTTTTACTTTAGTAAAATTTTGTATAGGATTTACAAGTTCTTTCCTTTCAAGTCTGAATTTTCTGAAAAAATATTATGACAAGTAAAATATTATTTTGTTAAGGATTTAATACAGTTTTTAGGAAAAATTCTAAATATGGTTAAGCAAAAAAATGAGAAACACAGAAAGCTCAATCTCTAAAAAGATACTATATAATAACTATATTATCAAGAAACCAGATTAATTCAAGTATTAGTACATTCTATGAGCTAGGAATAACAATATAATAATAATATGTAATAGTAATATAAATCATTCAAAATTTGTATTCTTATTCCCCTTGCGATATAGTCAAAATTCTATTTTATTCGAGACACAGGTGCAGGAACCGCACAATTCTATCCAGGCACCAAGCAGCTTCCCACAAGTACTACTGGTTACCATTTCAGATCTGCTGGTGCTGCTGCTGTCTCCTTCCCTTTCCTGGGTCATGCTTGATGCTTCTATGTGATGTTTGCCCAGTAGCCTGTGGAAGTGGGAGGGGAGGTGATGCCCATGGGGCTACCCATAACCAGTGGGGAACGGGACTGGATGAAATCTTCTTTTATCCCAGGCAGGGCAATTCTGATTCACATTTCTAAAGCCCCTCAAAGATCCCAAGGCATGGAACACGGGCAGCCCACAAGACGGAGTGGTTTGCCAGCAAGCTAAAACAAGTTTCTATCAGGAGCCTTTCTTTTTCCTGTCCACTCTGCTTTCTCCTTGTATCTGCTCCTTGGATCATATATAAACTAACACAGAAACAAACAGCAACAAGAAAACTACCTTTTCCCACACCAGTGTTTCAGGCTCTGCTTTGGGGACAGATTCCTCTCCAAAATAAGAAAATGAATCACTTTCTAAATATTAGTTTATGCTCACCATAATAATTTACCTTTAAAAAAATCTGAGTAGACTACTCAGGATTGGGAATCTTTCAAGATAATTATGAAATCAGTCATCTGTACTGATCTTTGATTCATCTCTTAAGAGTTTTTTTATTTATTATTTTTGACAACATATTTTGTTGGTTTTCATTAAATTAAGCGAACATTTTACTTGCTGGGTGAGCAGACTAAGTCTTTTGCAGATTCCATGGCCAGAGCCCAAGTTTGAATATGTTTTTGATTAGGAGGATTTCTTGTATTCTTCTAGTTCAGCTATACTGCAGAAAAACTGAGTATTAACGTTAGAAACAGGGAGCCATTTAACTAGCTAAGAGGTAAAATGAGTAAAACAAAATTTCTACTGAGATATACTTTAAAACCAAAAAAGAAAAAAGATTATTTAAGCCCAATTGTCTGTTATTCTCACTTGAAATGCCATAAAGTTAATCTTGAGATGGGGTTAATCACAGTGGACTAGTGGCTTCTCCCGCTTTTTATTTTATTTATTTATCTTTTTAATGTGCTGCTTTTTCTCTGTTTCTTTATTACCTAAATCTAGAATACATTTTCACTGGACGTGCACTGAGGGTGTTAGTTTTCTCAGTCATCCATCTTGTGAAACCATTGGTTTCTGCCATCATATTTTAAAATAGAAACAATGACTACATTATAGTCAGTTGAGTTTTTTCCCCCATAATAATGTTACAAATTTTCTTTATTAAGCTTTCATGCTTGTCGATTTGATATTTAAAGTTCTGTTGAAAACTGAAAGGTTTTTGAGAAAGAATGAATGGAAACAATAATTGGGTGATTTACTTCTGTGATTTTAGTCAACCATTCTCTAGGGAGGCAAGACCTAAGTTCAAATGTGGTTATGACAATTATTACTCAAATGGTTCTAAACCTAACATTCATCTTTAAAACGGGGACACCCTGGGCTTATGTGGGTTCAATACAATGAGCTTAATGAAGTGTTTAGCATAGTAAGGGCTCAAAATATTATCATTCTTATCATCATTAATATCATCATCATCTTTACCATCATCATCATCCTTGCCTTTAAATGTCTAATGGCAGAACAGGAAAAAATATTAACCACTTTTCTTTCATTTTTCTACACAAAAGTCCTATCAGCCAGTGATTACTCCATTAGCTTTACAGGTAAGGAAACCAAAATTCAGAAATTTCCAATAAATTTTCTACTAAATTTCTCAGCAACAGAACTAAAATATCAACCTATGCCTTCTTAGTAATAAAGCTATAATTTTGTACATAATGGGGAGGTGAAAAAAGCCAGAAATCTGTGAAACTAAACTCCTCAATGGCCCACACATTTCCCTTGAAATTATCATTTGATAAAATTTTATATGCTACATATAGTTTTTGCTTTTAATTGAGAATCCTAATTGATGTTTATTTCCCAATTTAAAAGGTTATATTCTGAATGTGTCTGAATTCATTGATGCCAGTATTATTATTTCCCACCTTGTATTTCTTTTGTACTCTGTTGGAAGCTATAAAATAGGTGATATAGAATTCTTAGTCAAAGACAATATATAATTACATATCTGGCATGTTTTTAACAAAGAAAAATATACATTTAGAACTTTGACTAAATGTGTGTGTGTTATATATTAAATAATATTTTCTCTTTTTTATTAGTTAGAAAAGAATAATAATATAAAAGAGAAAAAAGTCCTATGGTCCCAATCATGGCTTTCAAGCTCCAAATATTGATGTCTTCTCCCAAGGACCTTTGGATTTGTTTATTAAAAGGGTTTGCAACATCTGATTACTTTCTCTTTCCCATTTCTTTTCTAATAGCTATAAATCTAATTGTCAGTTTAATAGCTTATGAAAATTGGGTCATTTCTGTCTACTTCTATCATTCTGCTCTCCAAACTTCAGCAGAAGCCTTGCAAAGATTAATTAAAGACACTTTGAGATCCACTCAATCATAACCTATAGTACCAAAAATGAAAAAGAAAAAAAAACAACTTCCCATTTGTTTGTGTGTTTATAACAAAAAGTTTGGGTTGGTTTTGTGATTACCTTTCAGAAACATGGTTTTGAGAAAGGTTATAACACTTTATTTGATCATACTTCAATACCTCCATTAGTACTCAGAGAATATCTATTTAGTGCCTAGCATGTGTCCAGCACTTTTTGGCACTGAAGAGCAAAACAGACAAAATCCTTCCCTAATCCAAGCCTCATGGAACAAATATTCCATGGACAGATGAAGAAGGAGAGAATAAGAATTGGGAGGACAAGCTGTCCGGGTGCACAGCTTACTGCCTGCAGCTCCAGAAGAACACTAGCTGAGTAAAACAAACAAACAAAAACTCTGTGTTTGGCATAAAGCCTTGAACTTTGAATCAGATAGTCTCCATTTCAGACATAGCTCCGGCATTTTTTATTGGTGCAGAGTCAAGTCATTGAATCTCTTTGGCATCCATTTGCTCATCTGAAGGTAAGGTACTGTTAGTTTTTCTTAATTTTAACTCTGTGTTTAAAATATGAGATGACTTCACTTTTCCTACACAACCAGATCTAATTTTCAATATGATATTAAAGACTTCAACTATCATTCTAGGCAGTTTTCCAGGTTTTATTCCCTTCAACTAAGATAAGTTCCCTTTTTACCTGGTTAATTCCTATTGGTCCTTTAAGATCAGCTCAAGGGAGGTTTTTTTGGGGACATCTTGAGTGTTACCCATTTTCTGCCTCCATAGGTAACATTATGAAACACATAATTGGTATTTTGTAATTGGTTGGAGTGGAACTACTGAGTCAAATAGGATGAACAATTTAAGGATGCTTTTATAAATTATTAAATGCTTTCCAAAAACCTAAGATTCACTTTTATGAGGATGTTTGTCTCAAAAGATCTTGCTTAACCATGGGTGCTATTACCTTAGTTTTCATTTTGGCCTTTTGTTTGTCAACACATAGGACTCTACATCTCTCCTCGATAAGCCAGTTAGGAATCTCTCCTTTACTCTTAACAATTAGCTTATAAATGCCCAACAGAATGTGTGGTGTTAGTTGTCACATACACCAGTGGGACACAAAACATGAACGATGCCACATGCTGATATATTTGTCAATAAATATAATTAATTTGATAAAACTTGAACTCACCTGATAGCTTTCCACTATTTTTTCTATAACATGTTCCCAATGAACAGATATCTCAGAAGACGATAACACTTTCACGCCTACTTCTGTTGGTGCTTCACTCGGAGCTGAAATTTGATTAAAACATTACATTCATATATAGCTTATAATATAAAATTCAAATAGCACGATTTCCTGTATGAATGAATGAAAACTATATTTTAACATTCTAAATAGTTTGGATATTTTTAATCTAAAATGAGCCCAATAATTTTAGTAACTTTTTCTCTATTTTTAATGTTTATTTTATGGTTATTGGTGATACGTGCACACATATATTCATATACATAAATCTTAATATACACATGTACACACACTTTTATAAAATATGAAAAGTTTCATGGGTTTCTCTGATATCTGCAAGCAAGAACACTGCTTTTTTATCTCTTCCAAATTATCTGCCTACAAAAGCCTGCAGATGCAAATTAAAATTTATATTTAGCTTATCAACTCTAAATTATCAAAATTAATGATCAAAAATGGTGTTTATAATAGAAAATTATTCATTAAATGTAATTTTCAATTTTCTCATACATTCTTTTATATGAGCTAAGACATATAGCAATACTGCCCACTTTTTCTTTTATGTTTAAGCTAAAACGTTTTTATTTTTAAGATCCTTCGAAACAAGTTTGACAGCCACTGCTTCATGAGCTCAGGGAAACTTTTATAAGTCTAATCTTTTATCTGGGCATCAAGTCAAATATGTATCAAAACGGCCTGTGTTCAGTGAAAAAAAAAGTAATTTACATCACTCATGAAACTTACACAAAGAAACTAAGGAAAAATTTAAGCAGGAGTGGTCAATTTCTATTGTCTTTTAGTAACAAGTCATAATCCCCTTTTATGTTAAAAATGTCCTGCATGAGAGCACGGTTGCCTTTCCAAACAAAGGTAAACATGTAGCACTATGATTGATTTCTTAGCAGGAAAAGAAAAGATGAACACACAGGTTTTGGTACATGCAGGTTTTATGAGACTCATGAAACATTTAGGAAAGGAATATATTATAATATAGAAAGCCATGACTAAAGGAATTGAAAAAATGGGGTTTTGCCTGATTAACATCAAATAAAGCAACAAAAAATTGATGTTGGGTGAGAAGATAACTTTAAAATACTTTCTACTTTTATTTTCTCTGTAAGATGTACTCATGCTGTTGAAATTATTAACATTGAGCCATTATACTTCTGCTGAATCAGAACAAGCATAGAGAAAGTTAAGCTATTATTCAGGATTAAAAAGTCCTGAATTGATTGTAAACTTAAATAATTTCTGCTTTTTTGTTTTTTTCTAAGTGTTTAGTTAACTAATTTACATATAAACACATATTCATATATAAGATTGCCTTTCATGTTTGTATTGGAAGTAAAGATCATGAGTGATTTGAATAGATATTTAATTTTTAACAAATATGAAAGCTGATAACTCTATGACTGATGAGCATATGTGAGTTCTAAGGATAGCAAAATGCTTATTTTGGAGTAAAAATAATGCTGAGTAATTGAATACATGAGTTTGTTTCCTATAAGAGATCAGACGCATGTATCACATCATTTTAAATTTTCAAACTCTTCTGTCTGTGCTTCTCCCACATGAGCAAAGAGAAACTTAGCCAAGGACAAATGTGTTAGGTCAGAAGGTAACGAAATCTCCGTTTGCTTTTCTAGCCATTAATTATTTACATGGTACACGAGTACAGAGATAAAATAAGGAGGTCATTTTTTTTAATAGGAAAATAAGTAATATTTTTTAAAAAAACATTGTAGCTTATATAAAAACAATCATAGAAATCAATGTACTTATGTTTAATCTAAAACTATTTATTATTTAGCATAGAGGTGTAAAGTCTTCTAGGGGCATGCTCAGTTCACTTAAAGTTCCCAGAAAACAATTAGAGCCAATATTTGTATTTTTCCCCCTAAATAGCCTTCTAAATTTTTCCCTTCCTAAGAAAAAGAATTTCAGTGGGGTCTCTGACCCCTTTAACATAGAATTATGCCTAAATTCCCTTTAATAAAATTCCAGCACTGTATTATAAAGACAACAAGTTATATAAATGCTACAATTATATAAATTAGGTTAAAAGGGGGGAAATTTTACCAGTGTTAAGAAACTTCTAAGTAGGAAATTGCATGAACGTGCAGACATACTGAATTTCCAATCAAATATGAAGAATTTCTGACTGCAAAATTATAATCAAGGGTCAGGAACAAGATTCAAGCCAACTATCATAGGAGAGATATTGTAACTGCCATAGACACGATTTTGAAAAGGAAAAAATGTTTTTGGCAACATTCTTGTTATTGAGGTGGAGAGACTGATATTTTAATTTGGTTCAAAATAATACTCATTTACTAAATGCATAGTATTATCAAAAGATTTTGAGTAAGGCCCAAGTGACAGCAAATGAAACGCCTACCAGAGACCTGGGTTTTTTCTCCCTTGTCACGTAGGCAAGGTCTTCTTTGTACCTACCGTCTTGTGCTGAATTAATTACTGCTATGAGGCTGTAAGGTCCATCTCCTTTGTTGTTGAAAGCCTTCACTTTGACTTGAAATGCAGTGGAAGGTCGCATGCTCTCATCTTTATGGACATATCGACCAATATCTGGATTAGTAACTGTAACTTTTTTCCATTCTTCCCCATCGAATGGCTTAAATGCCACTATGTAACCAAAGTTGTTGCCGTAGTGGTATTCTCTTGACAAAGGCTAAATAGAAATTGAAATATTAAATAGGTTGAAGCAATACATTTAACAGGAGGGAAAATCCTGTGCCAATAATGGTAAGAGTGATACCCATGGAAGCATGTTCTTTGTGAAGATATATACTTAGTTTATAAGTTAGTCCTACTTGAAAATTGTAGGACAAAACATACTCACACATGTGATACCTTTACTTACCAAGTTTGCTATTCTGGGAACATTGCTTGGCTGGGGTAGGGGATCCCACTCTGGGCCTCTGTACTTCCAGGCCCATCTACCTTTTACCTAGGATGCTGTCGCATATGTCAGAAGGCCCCTCGCCCTCACTTTCTTGACAACCTATGTGACGCTTTCACTGGCCACAGGATCAGCCATTTCCACACTCCTTCTATAATATCTCATATCATGTCTCTCAGCTTAATTTTTTTCCCTTTTAACTTTATCATCATATACATTATACATTTTACTTGATTTTTACTTCATTTTCTCATTCAACTACTAGAACAGAAGTTTTAAGAGGGCAAAATTTTTGTCAGTTTTGATTACCTCTTTATCCATTGTACCTAGAACAAGGTCTCAAGTAATATGTATTCAATGAATGAATAAATGAATTTTATCACGGAGGGGGGAGGGGGCTAACAGGGGAAAGAAGAGGGTGCATCATCAAGGAACATGTATCAAGGACCCATGGACAAAGCCAAAGGGAGGTAAGGTTGAGGGTGGGAGGGGGAAGAGTAGTGGAGGGGGGAATGGAGACAACTGTACTTGAACAATTAAAAAAAATATATTAGTTAGGCAACAACAACAATAAAAAGAAAGTAGCAAATGCAAGCTAACATTTGACAATGATTAAACTGAACCAAAAAAAGAATAAATTAATTTTAGAGTTGAAAAATAATGATGACAGTGTTACACAAGAGTCTAGAATATCTGTTTTGTAATCAAACAATAGAAACTGGTCAGAGGAATAAAAGACAGGAGGCGAAAGGAGGAAGGGTTAACATTGCACTCATCTGTAGGGGGCTGGCTTTGAGACTGACTCCAATACTGAAGCAAGTGTCCTGTTTTACATTATTCTCTCAGAGTTTCTTATTACAGCATATGTCAGTTGTCCAAAAAAGAAGGCTGCGGTAGCCCTGACAATTCATTATTTATACACAGGCATAATGCTAGTTATAGAGAATACTATCACTTTGTCATCTTTAGAAAATCAGGTAAATGTGCAAATTGTATATTTATACTTTTTCACCAGAAAATCCAACTTAAAGTGTCCCAAGGAAAAATCTTAAACTAAATACAACAGAGTTGTTTGAATATACTTATGTTAAGCAGGAATATATAAAATTGTATAAAGTTCAAAGGGTAGAAGAAGCTACACTTTGTTGTACCATATACAGTTGATCCTAGAACAACATGGTGGTTAGGGGCACTGAACTCCTGGTTCCATCAAAAATCTACATATAACATTTGATTTCCCAAAAACTTAACTATAAATAGCCTACTGTTGACTGAAGTCTTACCAATAACAAATTTTTGATTAATATATATTTTGTATGTTTTAAAGTGCATTCTTATAAAAAGTAAGC